AGATTAGGCTGTCATTTTCCTGCCTTCTTGAAATTATTAATAACATAAACTACCTGAGTTATTTCAAGAAATCTTGTTGTTTTTTGCAGAAAGTAAACGTCTTAGGCCGAAATGTTAAATTAAAGTTTAATGCTGTAAAATGGCAAATTTCATTACCCTGGTTGTCATTTTCCTGGCTTATGAATGCCAGGACATTGACACAGTTACTAGAAATTTTTTTAAACAGTATAATGCTAAGAGGGAAAGCAAATATCCAGTTTATGTATGATTGTAATATGCTTGTATGTCATTAAAGTTATTTATCTATTTAATGATTGATTATTATACACAATTTCATTCCTTACATATCAGCAACAGAAAATTTTTTGATTCTTTCTACGGTGGATAAAAGATGTGGGGCTACTTTGTGCAGCGGGGGCTACTTTGTGCAATTCGAATTTGGCACGTTTCAAGTGCTGCTATTCAGTATTATATTTTTTTCACGTTAAAAATGTGTGAAATTTGAAGATAGAAGTCTCCTCTATTACTACAAAAATTTTTTCGAATTTTAAAACAATCTCAGAGTGTGTTTTGTTTATCCAATGTCAACAACTTTCCGAAAACGTCGGACGTCGAAAACTTTAGCTGTGAAATGCAAAGACGTTGATAAAACCAATTTTTTTATTTATATATCAATAAACAATTATATCATGTTAGCGTTAAAAAAATTTGAAAATTAATAACAAATAAACGAAAAATGAAAAAAAATGCACTGTGGGGCTACTTTGTGCAAAATTTCATTCGTTTTTTTTTCGACAGAAAAACTGTCAGACGTTATAAAAAAATGCCTAGAACGAGAAACTACCGTGATTACACTTTAGAAAAGCTGCAACAATGTTTGCAAGCAGTTGCTGGTGGTATGTCGATTGCAGAAGCTTCTCGGAAGTACAAAATCCACAGAAATACTATCTCTAATAAAATTCACAAGAAACACGTGAAACTTCCTGGTAAACTATTATTTTTCTTCTACAAAGATTTTTCTAATGAATTAATCAAACGATTTAACACATAAAAATATATTTTATAGGACATCAGGTGATTTTGACAGAAACTGAAGAGCAAGTTCTGTCATGTTCATTCAAGCATGTTATGTTCAAATTTATCAATATTATAAATGTTAATGAATATGTAATAATTATTATTTTTGAAATTTCATCCATTTCAATGTTCAAAAATGTATATGGTTTCCTTTTGTTTAAACTCAAATGTTTTGAAATAAACATTCTTTTTAAGAAAAAATTCTTTATAAAAAATGGTTTTTTAACGCTGAAAATTATTTTCAAACTAATATCTTTGCATATCTTGATGTTTTTGTTGTTAAAAATGTCAACAATTAAATTTTTTAACAATTTTATATCATTATTTTACTAAAAACATGATTATTAAACTGAATTCCTATCGCTGCACAAAGTAGCCCCACTTGGGGGCTATTTTGTGCAAGGTATGTTTTGACTCATTATTTGTAAATATTACACGCAAATAATGCCTATATTAATCAAATTCACTCGTCTGAGTCCAGTTATGAATATAATATCGATAAATTTTACTAAAGATTGAATTAACATAATTTTTTTACATGTCAAAGTTCAAAAACTACGAAATCCTGTACATGACGGTAATTTAAACAATTCATGGCCCATCTAACCAGAATTTTTTTTTCGAATTGTCATGCTTTCAAAGAATCAACCAGATATTATTGTCATTCCACATTTTACTTAAAATATTTATCATTTATTTTTGCTCTTCATCCTTAACATTAGAATGAGCAAATTATCTTTCACATATTCTAAGGCGAACTTTATGTACATAATTTTCTTTGTGAAATTTGGTTTAAATTTTTTTATATTACGATAGGATTTTACCAGCTCCTCTGTTCAACAAATTTTTCTTAAAAGTTAAAAAAGAAACACTAACAAAATGATTGTAATTTTATTTTCCAATAAGAGAGCTGGCATGACCTTTTCTATTGTAGGTGATTTTGCTTTTATGACGTCAGATATGGACAGAAATGAATTTTAATACATTTTATGAAATACGGCTTAAAATGTATTAGTTCTAATGGGATGATACGATTTTAGAAAAAAAGATATATTGTTTTATTAATTTTAATGAAATGGTGTTTTTAATAGAATTTGTTTGCATCGAGTTGAAGAACTAATTATTTTTACAACTTGAGAATTTCTTTGCAACGAGTGATACTTTATTCTAGAAGTGCAAATAAAAAGTGATCACTATTGATAATTCAGAAGATGTGGACTCATATTTAACTTTTTTTTATTTGGGATAGTAAACTGATGGTAAATATTTTTTACACGTAAAAAAATTGAAATTTCATCTTAGAATTTGTGTATTATGTTCTGTTTTTTTATTTATTAATAAAATGAAAAAATAGGATGATTTTTTGCATTTTTTTTTCAAACTTTATTTTAAGGGAAGCAGTTAAAATGATATTAAATAGTACAAAGTTCTCCCATAAGCTTTAAATTTATCCTTTCTTTTAAATCTAATTTCATTAGAATAAGTATTGAATTACTTCTGGCTTCATTCGGCCCAAATAAAATTGGGCGAAAACTTATATAATTGTTAAAGAGTGATGTTTGTTTTCTGGCACTTTCTGTTCTCTAGAAACTTTATAAATAAAATATATTCTTAAAATTAATTTTTTCATTTCAATTACGTATCATTGATTTTAAACAACATTTTCTACCCGAAAATGTTCATTACAACTCTTTTTCAGTCGAGTCCTGAAACCAGATCCATTGTTTCCAAGTATGATTTTATATATCCCATTGCAGAATCATGAATTAATGTTTTTTGTAAATTTTTAATGGAAATGAAATAATAATTATTTATTATAAACAGTATTAATTTGCTTATTTTAAATTAATCCTTTTTCGGAATTAAATCTTACGTCATGACTCATAGAGATTTGGTCAGATTTACGTTTTCTCGATTTATTTCATTACCTTTCAGCCTTGAATTTACTGAGAAATTTTGTTTTTTTCGTCTACTCTGTTTTGCTGTGTAAAGAATTTTTTTTTATTTGTTCTTAATTTCATAGTTAAACAATTTCTTTTAAAATAAATGAGCATATTGCTTTTTTGAATCAAATAACTTTCTTACATTTTTACTCCACAAAAAATAATAAGTTCAAAATATAGTATATATATATATATAGTGTGTAGAAAAACTTAACACCGCCTTTTTTCTTTAACCAGAATTAAAAAAATAATTATGTTTGGCTTAGAAGAAATTTGCACCTTGAGCCAATTTTATCATCTTGCAATTTTATCTAGTAGCATTTTGGTGTTACATTTACAATTCTTTTTATTTATTTTAAATTATGTAAGCCTAATTTTAAAAAAAAAGTTTTCAATTTCATGAATATTCATATTCAATTAATTAACAAGTTTAAAAGAGAAGAATTCAAAATGAATTCAATGAGTAAAATTCAAGATGCAAGGTACACTGAACTCGTTTTCTTTTTTTTTTTCAAAAAAAAATTTTTTTTGGAGTGCATGACAGTAATCGCTTACAAAACAAATTGCATAAACAGATAATAATAATATGTAAGCATTTTTAGTAATTATTTTCCACATAAAAACAAAACAGTTACAAAGGATTACCTATTCTGGTAATAAATTCTCCCCAAAACAGAGTCTTTTAAAATTAGATTTGACAAAAATCTGCTTACTTATTGTTTGTAGAGACCTTTTTATATTCTTCGCTAAAAGAGTTGATTCCTTCTTTATCGACGTCAGGAATAGGGAAATATTTTCGATTTTTTTTACAATTTAATAGTGACTAAATTAATCTATAGATCAGCATTTCTCAACTAAATAGTTTTATTCCTCTCTCCTTAATACGCATCATTATGATTCATAAGCGATTCAAGAAATTTTCAGATTGCCAAAGTGGAATTTTAATCAGCACAAAAGAGAGCCTCGAATCTCACCCGTTAAAGTTCGAACGGATTTCCGGCTTTATCATTAACAAGGGGTTTTATTTTTAAATTTTTAGTTTTTTTTTTATAATTGTCATAGAACAGTAGACCTAATTTTTGAGTGCACGACTACTCATGTTCAACTCCGCAGCCTTGTCATTTTGAACTCAATCCAGAAGACGAGGGAACACTTAGATCGAGTATTGGGAGAAAATTGCTTTTGTGGAGAACTTTTCGATGAAACTAACCCGCATTTGCGTTACATAGAGAGGAAGACCACGAGAACCTCCCACGGTTAGTCTGACGGCAAAGGGAGTTTAAACCATGATCCTTCTACCAGTGAGGATATTTCACGTGGTCAGTGCAAGCCGGTGTCAGAATTTTTATCTACCAGCCATTGGTGGGATTCGGTTGGCCTCTGAGCGGCTCTAACAAATGGTTTTATATGATAATAATTGCCGACGTGAAATAAGGATTAATTAATTTTAACTCGTACAAATCAGCATTTTCTCCATGAAAGGATTGTGCGATACTCCAATACATTTCGAAAGGATCTCAATTATATACATAAAACTTTCGTTTATCGGAAACTCAAAGATAATAATCGCCAATTTAATATACAAATAAATAAATAATTTTAATCCTCTCAAATCAGCCCCACCAAACAGAATTAAATCCGAAAAAATTGTGTGGATTTCTCTTCCCGCATCACTAACACGAAATTTAAGCGTTTGTCGGATTCTTATAGAAAATAATCGCCAAGGTAAAATACGAAAAAAAATTTATCCTCACAAATCAGCCTTTTCCCCACCAAACAGCGTTAAAACCAAAAAAATGCGTGTCTATCTCTTCCTTCACCGCATCATTAGCACGAAAATTACGCGTTTTCAGAAATTTTTAAAGAGAAATAAACGCCAAGGTGAATTTCAAATTCAATATTCCATTGGCGAAGGATGAGTGGAGAAGATTTGGCGATAAAACCGATCGAGAAAAAGGCAGACGATTATGAATGAACCATCTCATCCTTGGAAGTCGCCGCTGGCAGCGCCTCCATCGAATTGTATCTGAGGTTGCGTGAAAAGAGCCGGAGCAGATGCGGGAGATGATGAACAAGATGGCGGAAGGCGATGATATGTACCGTAACAACGACGCCACCCCTTTCAGGTCGAGGGCCCGGAAAGGGGCCCTCAAAAAAAAGAACGTCATCTGCATCAAAGACCACAGATTCATCCCCCGCTTCTTCAAACAACCCACTTTCTGTTCACACTGCAAAGACTTCATCTGGTAAGTACAGTTCTCTTAATGCTCGATAAAGCGAGTGTTCGTTATAACCGTATAGTGAACTTATGAATGAAACCCGTTTCGACAGGAGGTTTTTCGTTTTTTTTTCTTCCTGATTTAATTTAAAAATTCTAATTTTTCAAAGAGGAATCAAAAAAAGAAAGACATAAAATGGACTATTTTGCGATACTCTAAAAATATATAAAATTAAAGCAAAATTGGGAACTAATGCTATTATGGTGGGCAGTGTATATCTGCTTCGCGAAAAAAAAAATCCGTACAAACTCTTACCGAAATGTATCGTGGCAATTTATCATTTTAATTAATATTCGAACGGATTAATATTCTTTAAATTCAATAATCTAATCCCATATTTTTTTGAACATCCTATTTATTAGATAGTTTAAAAGGAAAAAAAAAATGTTTTCCTCACAAATTGCCAATAAAATTTTTTTTTTGTGTCATCCAATTGAAATCGAATAAAAAATAAATAGAAAAGGAAGATTTAACTCAAATGTATAAATAAAGTTAACATGCTTAACTTTTTTTGTAAAAGCTATTTAAAAGATAATATGTTTCAAATTTTATTTCGAATGAATGTTTAAAAATTATAGAGGAAAGTATCGAGGAAAAAAAACAATTTATTTAATTAACCTCACATTTTTATATCAGATTTCCAGTTTCATACTCTGAAGTAATTATCTCGAATAAATAATTTCGATGGTCATAAATCTCAAAGTGTTTTTCATCATTTTAAAGAGGTTTCCGATGATCATCTTTGTTCTTTCCTTTTTTGACAATCCGACGAGAGTTACAAAACTTTTTGTATTTTTAAGAGATTTATAAGCGTTTAATATTTTTAACATTTCAAAAAAAAATTTTTTTTTCAAATGAACTCGATAGAATTTAATTTAAAAAAAAAATTCCTCGAGTCTTATAATCAGTTGCAACAAATCTGTCAATCGATGTATTAACAACTGAAATCAGTAATAAAAAAGAATAATTTAATCAGGAATTACATCACACTTAAACCACAAATCAGATCGAAATGACGTTATTATGGATTCATTAACTCACGCAGTAAGCAAGCAAATTCACAAAAATTGTTTCTAAGGATGTACTAAAATTCACGCAAAATGCGTGCTACAAAATTTCGACCACCAAAAAAGAGCTAATAGTTTTAAAAAAGTGCTATACGAAGGATTTTGTGCATCGTTATTTTATTTCCCGACTCACTCATTGGCTACCTGCGATTCTTGTTCAATCATTCATAAAATACTTATCAACACAATGTTTTGTCCACATGATGTTATTCAAATCATTCATTTTAGGAGAGAAGAACTTGTTTAATAAAAAGTTGACCTCTGTAGGAATTGATTGTTTAAACCGACACTGTATTAAAGATGAAATTAGGTAAAAAAAACTCATTCATTGAAAACGCCTATAAAAAGTGCAACAAAAAACACCCTATTATCCGATATGGCTATTAGATCCATACACTCAATACTTTATAAACCAATGGAAAAAAAACTCATAATTTTTAATTAAAAAATTGTGATGTGCATCAAGATTACTAAAATTGCATGATTTTTAAAATACACATAAACTGCAATTCGTATAAATGATAAAAGTAGAGTGCACAAAAAAAAATGAATAACTTTTTTTTCTAAAGATCGGATTTCTCAGGCACTTATTCTTCATGGTCTAAAGGAGCTCAACTATGATAATTAATTTGCCCAGACGATATTTTAAGTTAAGCAAAAACGCGCGTTCTCTAAATACGATAGCTTTGAATTTCTGACCCATAAAATATAACTGTAATCGCAAAAGTATAGTCCCAATAGTTTGGTCAAGAGAGCTGTCAAAAGTTTGAATGTTATTTTAATTTTGATGCGCATTTCGTCAGATTTCTAAAACTTTTTAAATGAATTTAAAAATGTTTGAATACAATTATAAATTTTTTTTAAAATCATTACCTATTATTTTTTAATAATAGTCGGAAAAAGTTTGAATTGTAAGTTCAACAAATTTTTACATCGTTTTAAAAGATTGTAATTTTATAAGGCAAATAACAAAATTTGAATTAAATTGTTCGAATAATTCCTGAGAAATCTATTTTTTTTACAAAAATAGGATATTTAATAAGCTCCAATCATTACGTTTCAGTTCAAGTACTTGAAAGTGTGATCATTGAATCAAGAGTTATTCAAAGTGATTCTTTTTTTTTGTTGCTTTGATTCTTTGCTCACTGTATAGCATTGATGCGTGCTTCAATGAACTATGCTTAATAGTATTATCGTTACTGTAAAATATTAACCATACTCACACTTTAACTGCAGCCTGGATGGTAAGGGTCCATGCACAACAGGTCGTGACCCCGACAGCTGAAGACTCCTCGTGCAGTAAATGGTGACTGGTGTACGTTAAATCTGTTGGGTCACAAAGTCTTCCATGTTCCCGTAACAAATATTACCTCTGGATCCAGGAGTTTCCTTGTCTTCTGGATTGGTTCAAAATGACAAGGAGTAGTCGTCAACCCGAAATTGGGTCTGCTGTGCAACGATGGTTATAATATAAATGGCATTTGAAACTACTTAAATTTCGTAAGAGATTTAACAATAGGTTTGACATAGATAGCCTTTTCTATTCTTGATCAAACATCATATTATGTCTTAAATGTCATGAATGAACTCATTATATTTGCTTTAATGTAAGAGGAGAAACAAAATTAGAACCTAAAAACAGTATTGTTTTTTTTCACATTGAAAACACTATAAATGACGGAATTATTTGGATGTCGGTTACCCTGCAGATTATTTCTCATCAAAAGTTTCATTTTTTGAAAAATAAAATGCAAATAAACCAATGGAAGAAAATGATGGGAGATTTTTTTTAAGTACCTCTAAACGTGTTTCGAAGAAAAAGCTTTTTGAAAGAATAAAAGTTTTTCCTTCTGTTTCTTGCTTACAAGATAAACTGTATAAGAATTTATCTCATTTTTTTACTATTATTGTATAAAATTACTAAATAGAATTATGAAATATTACTAACAGCATTATAGCAATATAAGCACACCGGACAAAAAAATTAGTCACCCTTAGAGAAATCATGAAAAACATCATTTAATAGCGTGTAACACCACCCCTGGATTCGGTTAGGAAGTGAGTCCACAAGGTACGTTGAATCCAGTAATAATCCACCAAATTGCGAGTATTTCGGCGTTTTACCTGTTGTTCCCACATATATTCAATGGGGTTCAAGTCAGGTGAGGTAATTGACTATCTGAGTGTCCGTAAAACCAGTCAGAGATTCTTCCAGCTCCATGAAAAATAGGGGCAACAAACTTTTCATGAAGATGTTGATTGGAAAGGCAACATCCAGAATGTTCAAATAAACATCATGTTGGTGGCCACCTCAGTGAAGATCCATAGTAAGAAAAACACCGCATACAATCAGGATGAAATGCTTCTTTTGAATAAAGGCTGTTCAAGCCGCCTGTGTTCGACTCCCGTCGCAATGTTTTCTCAGGAACCTTCATTTGTAAACTGAAGCAATTCCTGTCGGCAGCGAGTTTTTTCCGACCACAATTCTTATAGACACGCATCGAAACAACTTCATTCACCGTATGAGCCAAACACATTTACACTCCTTTGATCAACGTCACCACGCTATTTAACGGTTCATCGGTGAGCTTATTTGCCGTTATCATATATGGCAACGTTACTTTTAAAAAGTAACGAGTAAAAGTACAAGTATTTTTAAAAAAAGTAACGAGTAAAAAGTAAAAAGTTCTTATTTTAAAAAGTAACGAGTAAAAAGTACAAGTAAAAGTACAAGTACTAAACAAAAAAAGTAACGATTTAAAAGTACATTTCTAGGAAATCGAAAATTCAAAGTAACCTAAAATTTTATTGAATAATATTCTTATGTTCTTTAATGTTTTTGCAAAATTGTTGTTATTTATTTAATTATTTTTAATTTTGAAAGTTATGGATATTAATTTATTTTTAAATTCGGAAGAATATTATAATATAATTTTATAATATAATCGTATAATATAATTTTAAAATCAAATATAATTTTAATATCAAACTTTTTATGGATTTGCACGAAAAAGAAATTTTATCTATTGATTTTAATTTTTAGTTTATTATTTTTATTTATTTAAATTACCATTGATTTAAAATTGTTTTACTCTTTAGAAACGCGTTTTAAAAGCACAAACATAAACAAAGCAAACACGGGGTTTCAGATAGCTTTGTGATCTTTGAGCTAGTAAAAAATAATTGAATGTGCAGTATAAGTTGAAACAGAAGGTATTTAAACACGAAGTTAGCTGTGAATGCATACATATTGCACATTAATTTTATAAATTAAAAAATCATAAGCATTTTTTTTAATTAAATTTTTTTTCTCTTTTTTTTAGAAAGCTTACCGAGTTTTAGAAAAAAGTAACGATTTCATTCGACATTTCCGTTACAAATACTTGTACTTTTTCCCTAAAAAAGTAACGAAAGTACAAGTAAAAGTACTAAATTTAAAAAGTAACGAAGTACAAGTAAAAGTACGTACTTTTTACTTGTACCGGCGGTACAAGTAACGAAAGTAAAAGTACTGCCATATATGGCCGTTATAACATAACAGCAAAGTTTTTATGCGTAAGAATTTTAGATAAAGTGGAATTTTGAACAATAATGGTCTCACTGCGTTAAGGCAAATTTGGATTTATAAGAAAGCACTCTGCTACTGGATACTCCCTAATCACCACCCTTGATATATATTTTTAAAACTATGGACAAAAATCAAGATAAAAAAAAAACCTCGTAGTCAAAAGGAAATTGCTATTGAAATCTGACAAATCACTTGTGACAAAGTTAATGTGAAAACATTAAAACAAGTTTGATTGTCGGTTGTGAATGTGTTTCATTTAATTTCTTAACCCCGCGTTTTGTCATACAATCTAAAAGTTTTTGATCTGGTTTTTATCAATTCGTCATATTTTT